GGGGGGTTGTTACTTTTGGAAGTTTACGGTAGTTGTTAACTAAACTGTTCTTTATCATTTTTTAAAATATTTTCATTCAAAATTTGACAGGAATTCTTGGATTCTTCAGCAAAAGAGCTCTTTCATCCCTCCCTGAGAGTCATTCCAAGCCAGTGAACATTGTTCACTCAGACATGAAGGTTCACATACTTCCTGCACTTTCTGATAACTACATGTATCTTGTTGTTGATGAGAAAACACAGGAAGCAGCCATCATAGATCCAGTGGAACCTAAAAAGGTAGACTAAACATAACACGGTGTACTTTACTGATTATTGTACATCTATTGACTGTGCTGACAATCTGTTGCCTGATATTGTAATCCCCATGCTAGGTCATAGGTTCAACCATAAGACATTACTGCTACCTAGTACTTACAAATTTTGCGATGTATGTGATATCAAATTGTTGTTAGGTCGTTGAGGCTGTAAAAAATCACGGAGTAAAGCTTACAACAGTGCTAACTACTCATCATCATTGGTAAGTCTTCACAAACTTAGTCTTTATTAACAAGATTTGGACTGTGAAGGATCCATTCAAAATTCTGGCCAAACTGGGAGTCACACTCAAAAATTCAGATTTGTTGTGCAAGTAATGACATTTGCTTTTCCAGTTGTGAAGTGCAGTTCTCAGTGAAGCAATTTAAACTCACCCTGCTACCATTTTCTCACTATCTGTTGATGGACATTCAGTCAATCTACTTTCTCCCTCTTCAACACCAATGAAAGTGGTTTTTTATCATTTTTCATTTTACACAAGGGAAATGAAATCTGGAATTGGAAAGAACTTAAATGGAACTTGGCAACTTGCTTGACTAATGAACAAATTGAATTGAAAGCTGCAAATTGTTTCCAGCAAATTGTCAATCTGTTTTGGAACATTGCACCACATTACAGAATTCCAGTTTGTCTGCACCATGTGACTGAAAATAAGTCCTTATGTTATTAGGGATCATGCAGGTGGTAATGAAGAATTAGCTCAACTAGTTAAGGGACTGACAGTGTGTGGAGGTGATGACAGAATTGGTGCACTAAACAAAAAAGTTGGACACAGAGACCAAATGAAGGTACTTTACAGCTATAAATTTGAAATTCCTGTCAGAAACCACCAAACTTGAGATTAAATATATTTTTAAAAAATTTGTCATCATCATGTGTCATGCCTGGGAGGTCAATATGTTTGACTATTGTCCTTGATGTGTTAATGGTGTTCTCAGTTGGAATCTTGCTCTTGCAATGGCTTCTCTCTACCCTGGCTGGTTTAATAATACCAGAAATCAGATGGCTAGCCCGAGGCCTGCTTATTACAAATGAACTTGAATTTTGTTTAAGGTTGGAAACCTTGATGTACAGTGTCTTTTTACACCTTGTCATACTAGTGGTCATATCTGCTATGTGGTCAGTGGTCAGCCAAGTGCAGTATTCACAGGTAGGAGACTCCTGATTGACTTGTTAGTAAGTAGGGAGGCAGGCAGTAAGGAAAGTATTCTAAGTAGGTACATGTAGGTACATGTATGTAGGAGGTGCATCAGTCAGTCAGTCAGTCAGGCAGGCAGGCAGGCATGCTTTATAGATCCTAGAGTATGCCATGAGAAACCTCACCAAATCGCCAGCCTAACACATTTTCAGACAGATGTTGCATTTCACTTTCAGGTGACACACTTTTTGTAGCCGGATGTGGAAAATTCTTTGAAGGGCGTCCTCCAGAAATGTACAAGGCCTTGATTGACATTCTTGGTAAACTACCACATGATACTGTGAGTATTTAACTGTCAATTAACACTTTAAAAGTAAATGTACTGTTAAGATTACCAAGTGATGTTCTAAGTACAGTATGTGGGAATAATCCGGTGACATCATTGGGGTGTGTCCTACACGATATCAGCAAGAATTTTGTCTTACTGACAGGGAAACTTTTCATTACAATATTTAGTTTGTGAAACAATGAATCATTCTGGCTTGTTTGCATACAGAACCTTTATAGCTGTGTTAAGCGTGGCCATTATAATTATTACAATTATTATTAGTAATCATATTGTCTCTGCAGTTGCATTCTTTAATAAAATAATGTGTACATTACTAGACAATTTATTTGTGTTTGTCCTTTGTTCCAGCTTGTTTATTGTGGACATGAGTACACTGAAAACAATCTTAAGTATGCAGTTCATGTGGAGCCACAAAACTCTGAAATACACAAGCAAATTGAATTTGCTAAGGTGATATAAATTCGAAACAAACATTATTTCACGACAGTCTGTATAATTTACTAATTAAACAGTTTGTTGTAAGATGTGACAGTACTACAACATGACTCTATGTTAGCATAACAGGATCAAATTTTTCTTTCTTGGAGAAATACCAAATTTAAATTTTCTGTGAAATTATAGATGTTAATGGCATTATTTATAAGGACCAAACAGTAGATAATTCTGCACCCATTATATGACGCTGTAAAAAGTGTGATGAGTTTCATTTTGTTTCCAAGCATTAAAGCATAATTATTATTAACAGCATAGTTATAGAGGATTCTTCCAATACATCCACAATCACATCCAAATCGTCTCCAAATATCGTTAGTCTTACTTCATCTTCCATTTTGTCGACAATAATGCAGGGTCACTATCAGGTGATGTGCATGCTCAACACAAGGCTTTTGCTTCAGTCTCTGAAGTTTGCTGGCTTTCATAACATGTCTCCTCCACTAACTACGTTGAGAGTAAAAATACTTTGCTATTTTACTAAAAGCAGTAATTCTATGGTGCTAAATGTTAGAAGCAGCATTAAATAAAATTGTTTTAATTTGTTTATTAGAGCAAAAGAAAGGCAAATGAACCAACAGTGCCATCCACCATCGGAGATGAGTTCAAATTTAATCCATTTATGAGAGTCCAGTAAGTGATGATGCCAACGACTTACAGCAGGGTCCAGAAATAAAAAGCCTACCCAGCAAAGAATTGGATCTCATGTTTTAATAACTGTTTTTACAAAAACAAAAAAGTCAGTTGAAGTAATGTTTTTAGCCATAATTAGTAAATGTGGCTGTTGTGATGTAAGCTATTGTAAGTAAGCTGTTGTTTCCCAGCTTACCATGTGCTTGCAGACATGTTGCTCATGTAAACGTGTAGTTGTTGCATTCAGTTGTCTCGAACTTGCTTGTGGAGGTTCAACTGCAGTACTTTCAAATAACTGTCATTGACAGCACATTATAAATCAGCTAATGGAAAATTTTCATTTTTCAGGGAGGAGAGCATTAAGAAATATGCAGGGAAGTCAGACCCAGTTGATGTGATGGGATTTCTTAGACGTGACAAGGACATGTTCAAGGCTAAACACTGACTCAAAGTCTGAGTATTGAATAATTAGGCAAAGTGCTGGTTAGATAATAACTCCAAACTACTTGACAAAACTTAAGCAAGTGGTTGTAAATGGTCCTTCAGAATATTAACAGACATCTGAAAGAATTTTAGCCAATTTTCACAGGTCTCACTTGTCACAAATTACCATTTGCCACCACTAGAATAGTTGCATTAATCAGGCTGTTGATTTTCTGCAAGAAAATTGTAGAAAATGAGTATGCTGTATAAATGGAGAGAATGAGAACTAAAGAATAAAAATGTGATTAGTTGCTGTTAAATGTTAGAGCGGTTTTCAATTGACTGTCGTAAAACGAAAAACAAACCAATTACATACCAGTTAGACTACGCAGCCAATCTCAAACCGTAGTAAAACCAAAACCCAAACCAAAGTAATTTTCTAATTACTTTCGACACTCAGATGAAAACTGCCCTATTGATAAATCAGAACTTCCTTTCACAAAAGTGAGTAGTGAGTTCAAAGAATGTCACCCAAGAACAAGACAAGTTTGAGTTGAGTCTTTACCTTAATCTTACATTCCAGAGATTATGTTGTAATAGGAACTGTTTCTATGTAATCTAGCTACTTGTAGGAACAATTTTTAATTTAAAAAAAAATCTTTGGTGTGTAATGTTCTTTCCATTTTTAGCACTGGTTTGCCTTGTACAGCATATTTAGCTTGTGTTGAGGAAGCACCTTAAGAAAGCCGAGTGTTGGCAATAAATTTTTTTGTATTGAACATGGTCAGTCAAGTTCTCCAAGAATATTTGGTTCTTACATGACCATTTTGTGGCTGTCATTTTATGCCTGAAGATATTTCGCAGTAAATGCCTCTCTTCACCCAAGTGTTTAAGTGAACTTGTGAATTAATTGCAAGGGGGTAACCCTGAAATGGACTAGCATTCCATCCAGGGAGAAGAAGAAATACTCCTAGTTAGAGTCAAGTTGAATAAATTAATAAAAATAAATTAAAGAATTTAGAAGGGAAGCCACAGCAGCCCTAGCTGGTTTCAATACATGTTCCTCTATCCAGGTCAAATAGCCCACTTCTGAGTTGACCTAAACCCCTATCAAGGCAAGGCCTGGTGCACAACCATTCATATGAAAATGAGTTTAATTTGCATGTGAATGAAATCTCATTTTCATATGTAAAGATGGGAAGCAAGACTCACTTTGAGAAAGAGGCTTAAGGTAATTTGGAAAATGCCCATTGGAATTTGGAAATATTGGTTCATACTGGAGAAAAACCCTCAGTGCAAGGCAAGAACAAACAAACTCAACCCATATATGGCACCTCCAGAATCAAGCCACGGCCACATTTGAGGGAGTGGGGGGTTTTCTCCAGAAAGAAACCTGGAAATTGTTTCCAGATATACATTGTGTACCAGTACCATAAAAAAGTAAGCAGTTTCTAGGTTTACACATTATGGCTTGTGTTGTTTCATCCTTAAAGTTGTGGAAATTGTCGCTCCTTTTGTTTAGAAGATTGTTTTAAAATTCTCGACTTTACTTCCACAAGCTTGGAATTGAAAATCAAGGAAGCCATGCACATCCTTTGGGAGCAGCCATCTTTAAATTCCCAGGTCAAACATCTTAATTTATCCCATCTTCATACTAATTAGTCTCCTTTCTTAGCTTAAATAGTTTTACTCTTTTTTTTGGTTCGCACCTTAATCCTTAATTATTCTTGTTAATATCTCAGTTTGTCATGGTATTTATTGCATATTTTCATTTTATTTCTACGTGTACAACTGACAATGGATGATGCCTTATCTGAAACATATATTTTCTTCATTAAATAATGAACTTCAAAAGCATCATGTGGTTCATCAAAGTCATATCTTATTTTGTGCTGCTACGAAGCCTTAATAATAATAATAATAATAATAATAATAATAATAATAATAATAATAAAATACCATCCACAAAAAAAGGATAAATATTGACAAACTTTATTACTATGTAAAAATTATCACAATACAAAAACAACAGTAAGATTAAAGATTTTACTACTATGTATATTTATTTGTCAGTATAACTATCATTCAGCTGTTCCTCACTTATTTTCTTTGGAATCTATATCCATGTTATTTATAAGATTTCAATGGTACAAGTTTTAAAAGCATGCATACGTGCATTTCAATGTCTGAATCAATGATTCAATGCGTTAGAAGTAGTTGATACTGCACTTTGTGTAACTCATGAAACAATGGTTGGATCCTGGACAGTCCAGCGATGTAAGTCAAAACAGTTAGATTCTGTAGTGTTGCAGTAAAACCAAGTGACGCGTACCCCTCAAGATTACATTAATGAATGAGTACGTGAATATTGAACCCGCTAATCATTTCAAGAATGCAATAATGAATTGATTATTTGATTATTGAACTCGCCAGTCATTTCAAAAATCAATATTAAATTGATTTTTTTAACATTAAACCCATTAAGCGTATCCTTGGAATGACTAGTGGGTTCAATTTTCCAATAGTCAATTCATTAATGCATTCTTGAAACAACTAGTGGGTTCAATATTCAAATAATCAATTCATTAATGTAATATTGAGGGGTATGCTTCACTTGGTTTGACTGTAATATGTCAGCGCGTACAAAGCCATTCACCTGGGCAAGCTAAGGGAACTCTGTAAATAATAATTATAAGTTATGGTATGCTAGTTCCATGTATCAATTCCTTACAAAGTCATTTATCTGCTCATTCACAATTATACAGTAGATTCACTGGCCCATGGTTCTGCCAATTTGTAAAACAGCAAGTAAGGAGAAGTGAATGATGATTCTGATGATGACAACAGTGTTGAAACATCAGCTTCCTCCAATATTGCAACTTCAGCATCATCAAAATGAATCCACTGGAATGCCTGGGCATCTTGCACACTGCTGTCTGAATCTGGTATTTCCACATCACCAGAATCTGTAGCATTCTGGCCTTTTGTGGCTTGATCTGGTTGCCTTTTGCTATCTTGGAAATTCAATTTGCGTATTGCAGTTTTACTGGATGCAACATCACAATACTGAAAAGTTTGGATCTTATTACGTGATTTTTCAGTTCCAGTAAAGCTGAAAGTTGGTGTGCTGTGATGCCTCTGTTTTTTAGCTGCAATTTGTAAATCACCTATTTTTTCTTCATCGTGGTTTTCTAGTTTGGTCTCCTTTGTTGAATGTTTTCTGGATTTGTGGAAGTATCTTGTGATTCCAGAAATACATGTTGTCTTAGCTTTCTCAGCAGAGCTCTGTGGACTTGCAATCTGATTAGTTTCAGAACATTTGTCATCACTGGAGAAAGTGTCGTCATAACTTGAAAAAGACTGTGATTCACCCAGATGAGATGATTCCATGATACTATGCACTTCATCGTGGCCATATTCAGAGCAAGGTGCATGAGTGTTGTCATGCTGTTTGTTGTTGTTATTAACATCTGCCATGTTGGATTTGGGAACCTTCACATAAGCTTGATAGTGGCCACTGCAGGAGGTCATACCACTGTGCATTACTATACCAAACAAATGGAAAGTTGGATTGGCGGTAGAACTTGAGTTTGAGCACCAGTCCTTGAGTGACAGCTCCATTGGTGTTTGGAGGTTTGAAGTGATCTTGGAGACACTGCCCGATAAAAACCTGCAATTAGAGAAAATGATCAGCAGCTGTTCTAAAGAATCTGATCCAACCAATGGACAGTAGTATATTGTAGATACCCCCTACTGGTTAAATGAACCTGTAGGCAGAACTCATTTTCATATGAATGGTTTTACATGATGACTCGTTTTGAAACAGATGCAAAAGGCAACTCGGAAATGGCCAACTGGTTGTAACAACATAATGGAGGTATTAGTAGTGTAGTCATAAGTTGGGATTCTACTATAATTATCAAAAAGTTTTGGTCAGAGTTATTTGCCAGAGTCTTGCAGATCAATTATTTGCCTCAGCCTTTGGCTTCAGCAAAGAATTGATCTGCTCGCCACTTGCAAATCATGATATAATTTTTGCTTAACTTTGTCCAGTAATAAATTATTGTTAATTGTCAACTTTGCTATCCTGTCAAAGTAGCTAATATATAGTTTTTCCTTACCAAACTTTGCTGCCTGAGGCTACAATGAAACCTTTATGATGCATATTGATGCCTGTCGAACTTCCCTAGTGTGGGCTTTAACATTCAACAGTTCTTCTATAAATTACTCAAATCAAGTTATCCTGAAATTGAGTTAGCGGCCACCTTAAATGTTGTTTGTAATCTGTCCTTTCAACTGTGTGGACTTTTCACTTTTCAATTGACTCTTTCAAGGAACATAACCTAATACAGCATTGTAAATTCAGTCCGGCATCTGCTCAATAGTTGCATTATAGAAATTGGCAAAATAAAATTGACTGTAGTGTCCATGTCTGGTTAGCTGAGATGTGCACTGAATATAATGCTAATTTCAGGACCAGACAGACTTAGTACCTGTTTAATACAGGATGTCTACTAATCAGGGCAAGGCTTAATAGAAATTTCATTGTGCTTCAAAATTAGGTGTAAAAGTCAGTTTTTCATGAAGTAGAACAGAAGACTCACCCTGATAGAGAATTAGCAGTAAATCTCTTGAGGTGGATTGTCAGTATCTTTGGCAACTTGTCAAAGCATGTGGAGATTTCAGCTTCGGTATGAGTGAGACAATTCTCACAGAAATACTTGTTGTCTCCACTCAGATGTTCTACTGTAGCAAACTGCGACAAGGCCCAACCAAGGCTTTCGTTATCTTGGCCTTTTTTGGGTGTTGGTGAAAAGGTGTGAGCTTTTTTAGCATCATACACTTTAGGTTCCTTTTTAACTGGCACACTGATGTCTTGGAAGTTTTCAAAACGTCTCTTAGCATCTTCACATGTCAGGCATTTTGTCTGATGCAGAAGCCGTCCATGAAATAATTCTTCCAGTGGACTACAACCTTGGCTTTTGTTGTTACAAGATAATGTTCTAGCCCACAAGTTTTTATCATTCAGACTTCTGTTATACACTTTTCTAGTATCTTCTACTTTCTTTTTGATCTCATTCTCTGTTTCTTGAAGATTTACAAGCAAACTGCACAGGAATTCTTGGGCATCATGTTGAAGATTGTCTTCAAACATTGGATTTTGTCTCCTGATTAAAGAGTTGCAAGACAAACGAGAAAATTAATAATGGGGATGTGTACATTTATACTAAGACAGCCAAGCTCAAAGTGCTTATTTTTCCTGGTAGTACAGTCTGAGAATCTCTGGTATATTTTTACTTGACCCCTGATTGATCATTTAGCTATTGCAACTAGAGACTATACCTGGGGAAAAGAAGTGTCAAAGTGATACCTCATAAAATTTCAACATTTTATTGAGGGTAGGAGGGAGACATGTTTAAAATTAAAATCCATTATAAGCCATTAGGCTTTCCCTGTGTACATAGAAACTGAAATATAAGAAGTGTTAGAGGATGACTGGCTGAGTGATGACAGCTGACAGCAATAATTTATTTTCTTAAATAGATCAGGTTCATGCCAGTACTTGAAACAAACATTTTTTCACGTCAATATGTTTCATTCTTATCTGGAGTTGTTAAGAGTTTTTGGATCATGTATACTAAAGGCATCTGCAATCGAGTGTCTCCATTGATACTCGGTCAACACACAATGGACATCTCACTTGACAGTCGGTCAACAGTCAACCAGTTTTGCAGATGCCATCAAGTGTCGATTGATATAATTTATATACATATGAGTCAGTTGACACTCTACCAACTATCAACAAACTGTTGATCAAGTTTCAACCAAGTATCAATCGAGATGTTGATCGAGTATCAATCAAGACTTTGATGGAATGTTCATTGAAGGTATCAATTGACACTTGACCGGGGATGCCTTTAGTAAAACACGTGATCTGAGTGTTTTGTAATTGATAATATAAGTGGAAAAGATGTGGAATAGTGTTGGGTCATAATTGTCAGAGTAGGCAAACCTGAAGGTTTCCATGAAATTCAGAGGCTTTGCAGCAAGAATCAACTGGTTCCGTCTCTGTATAAGATGCTCGCAATTCTCTTTGTTCTCCTTGTAATCTACTTCCAGGTCTTTCATTTGACTGAAAAGCTAAGCAAGATAACATTGTTTGAGTATACGTTACAATCATGCAGGCTTCATATTTGATTTGAATGACAGGAAACAAGGATAAAAGAATGGAATTTCAGAAAACTCCATGTTTATACCTCTTTTAGTTCAGAAGTGACTGATTTATGATCCTCATCATCACTATTGCAAAGGTCAGTTTCTTCAGCTGCCTGTTGTAACACAATGACTTGGTAATTGTTTACAAAGAACCCCCATAACATTGTGGGAGGACTGGCAAATAATAATTAGTAACCATATTTACTCACAAAACCCTTCTCACATAATAAGGAAAGAAGTATAGAATGCCACTTTTACAGACTTACCATTTTGTCTTTTTGCTTACAAAGCACATCCTCGGAAATTAAATCACGCTACATGTACATAACATATGCAAATGTAATGTTGTTACTACCCTTTTCTGCTGGTGTATGACATTTGTAGACTGCGACTTTTTTTAAACTAATATCGTATTCCCATTCTCATTACTGAGAGCTAAGTGTAAACAACCATACTTGAGTGCTATTATTTATGCAAACCCGAGTGATATTCAGGTTAACCAGGGTGTTTTTTAGGCTAAAAAAGTTATGTAATCTGTGTGCAGTCTGCAAATGTCATTACCTGCCAGATTGTTTTTTATTAGGGTTTGGGGTTAATTATAACTTCATTTCTACATCCCAGTCACTTCAATCCATCATTATCCCATCCCTTGCGAGTTTCCGTTACTGTTGGTATATCATGCACATGTCATGGATCTCACAAAACTGCAAGTCCTTCACCCCCTCTCCCCCCCCCCNACCCCACACACACACACGCACCCACAAAGCGGAGGGCTACACTCCTGGGGGACGGGGGCAACTCCCTTTGATGGGCTATATGGGTATGTGTCGCCCAAAAGGCTAGGGTTTTCAGCCATTTTGGTAATAAAGAGTATCAATTTTGGCCATTTTGGTCACAAATGATCATAAATAGGATATGGTTTTTGCACTCTAGTCTTGAACTGGGTATGTTTGTTTTTAGAGGAAGCTACTTTTTCAGCTCATAAATAGGGTAGCAAAATCGTAGATTTTGGTCATGAATAGCCACACACGCCTACCCAATTTTTCTGGGAGTACCCCCCCCCCCTCCGGAATACACTTTACCGGTAAGATCTTCGTAAATGAGACATAACCGAGAGAGACAAGAAAAAGAGGGTACGAAGAATTGTTGAGCTTCGGATCACTAGCAGTAAGGCTTAAATCAGTTTTACATGTACATTACAAAAGGTGATTTGGAACGAAAAAGTCATCGTTACCACTAAATTAGCTTACCTGTCTATCTCTCTCTGTTTCTGCTGGATGTGTATTTGCAACAGTGGGACACAAATCTCTGATGAGTGAATCGGTTTCAATGACAGACTCCATCAGTCCTGGGCAATGGCGCAGGACTTGCAATACTGCATTTGCGAAGCAGATATTTCCATGATTCTTTAGTCCTGCATAAGGCGGTGGTGGAATTGGAGGCTCAAAAATGTCATCATCACTCGTGTTTTGAGTTGCTGCCGGACTGAATATAGGGAACAGTTTTCCCCTCTTTTCGCTCTCTCCGACACTCGCCGATTTCTTTTTACTCGTGAGTTTCAAAGAGAACTTGGTTCGTTTACGAGGCGGACTTCTCGGACTTGAGGGCGGTGAATCTACCAGAGAGACCGATGGCATCTTTCGTCTTTAACCTCTATGTTATCACCACAACGTCCATTTATACATGATTCAGTAGTTCATTGGAAAATGTCTGCTATAGATTAGTGGTTCATTTCATTTCCCCGCCATTTTCTCTGAATCAATTGATGTCCAGTCCGGCCCGCCACCAAAGTATCAAAGAGAGGGAACTGGGTGCGAAAGTTGCTTTCTTTGACTTTCTTTCTAAACTGTCTGGGAAATGTTACTGAGGGCAAACTTTGAGCAAATAAAAGAGAAAAAACAATTTTGCCTTAATGGATTACAATTTTAGTTCCATTTTGCCATTGATGTTGGAAATTTGCATACAAACCTGGAAGTGCCCGCTTGTCTTTAAGGCAGCGGTGTTGCTATTGAAATTGGCGCGAAAAGGGACGCAAAGTTACCCGGGAAAAAGAAAATGGCGATTGTTTCTTGGTAGTTCAAGTGTTTTCATCTTTTTACAGCTAGGCAGATTAAAAATGTTCAATGCACAAGAATTGGATCTAAAGACTACCCAGCTAAAAGCCGAAGTGCTACTGTCAGAGCCCTCAACTCACGAAGGTCTTGAAGACGAAGAGAGGATTGAAAGAGCAACTTGTTCATATTCAAATGAATCAGAACGCTTCTTGCTCCAAGAGAGAAATTTTTCACGACAGTATGCACAGATATATTCAGTCCGTATCATGGCAATGAGAAAGAAGCTAGCTGCAGCTGCCAGAAGGAAATGGGGTATGTAAAAGTTTGAACACCTAACCCTAACCCTAACCCTAACCCTAAAACCAATAAATGTAGATGTAAGCATATATGTGATTGACCATAATTAATATTCCGCAGAACTTTGCACCGAAATGAATCGGACACAAACCAATAAGCTTAAGTCTTAATTAGCTTTTATTCGATTTTACACCTTAAACTTGTGAGTCTCCATCATGCCTGTCTGAACATAAGGGTGCACAATTTCAACTTCAGCGTGTAAATTTTTTTTTTACGATAACTGCAGAAATTCTTGCACGCTCATTGGCTAATTCTCATTGTCAGTAAGCGGACAGACACATGAATTTATAATATTTATGCAATGCAGCAACGAGTGAGAGCGGACATTTTGACAATTTGATATCTTAAAAAACAAATTGACATCAGTTTTTAATACGTCTGTCCTGTTATTGACAATGAATTTCGTCATAACATTGTCAAAGTAGCCTGCAGATCTACTCAGCTATCACCTTGAGGAAGCACAGCTATTTTGACAATGTTATGATGAAATTCATGATCAATAACAGAACAGACGCATGAAAAACTAACATCAATTTGTTAAGTTTCCCATTACTAGTCACAACATAAAACATAAAACCTTTATTGTAACAGCATAAGAATTAAAACTACAAAGCCTGTTGGGTGGTGTAAACTACTGAATTAAAATATCAAAATATATACATGTAAGTACTAAATACAGAGCTAAGATCAAAGTATCAATCTAGGCTTAAAATATTAAAATAAGTGTCTAAAAATACAACTAAGTTATTCGTTTCTTTCACTTGTTTTTTTTTTTCCCTTCTTTTTATGAAGCACTGATAAGATTTTTATCAATGAGAGACTTAAACATTAAGCAACAATTTTGTTTACTTGAAATTCTAAGAAATTGTTCCAGATAAAACTAAGATAACTGCTTAAAACAGCATCCAGCTTTCCGAAATCCTCAAATTATTCCAAATTTGGTGATATTTCTGAAACAACATTTGTTAGATTTGTCAGGCTATCTGTGATAATATATATTATGTTATTTGCCAGCTGGGAAGTCCGTATAGTGAAAAATTCTGACCGAGGTCTTGAAAATGCTGCCCAAGGCTACAGGCTGCAGGCAGCATCTTCAAGACAGAGGCCACAGTTTTTCACTATACAGACGGACCCTAAGCTGGCAAATAACATGTTTATTTCCTGTAGTAAATTGGTTTTACAGATTGCAAGTGGGTTTGTTTACACAACTTTGTACATTGAATTGGCTTCTGCACCGTCTACCAATGATATTTTGTAATAAATCTTCATAAGGAGCGAGTAACTCAGATACTAGACAAAGAAAGATGTATTAAAGAACAGATATTTTTCGAACTTTTTCTATGTTAGTTGCATTTATTTCACCACTTAAGTTCTCCAAAATTGTTTTTCCAATGTGAACTTTCGTGCGAAGTGAAGTTTTACTACAGAAACAATTTCTGTCAGTCACTTGAAATCAGACTTTTCTACCGTAAATTGAATGGCAGAAAAGGAGGAAATTTGTTACGTGTAAATTCCACAGAAATCCTCCTAAATACAGCAATGATCAGAGGTAAACTCGACTGAAATTGACTAAAATTTTACAGTGAGAGAAACACAGGATTACACTCCATCACAGTGCCAAGCTACAAACAACCAAGCAAACTCATAACTTCCAAACACTCAATTGAATTTACTTACAGTGACTTTCCTTGCCATTTTAAAAGGAAAAGAGATAAACTTGCATTGACTAATTGTCAATGGAGTTGTAAAAAAGGCAAAAGATTGATGATTACTGCTAACTTTTAGGAGCAAAATTTAGGTGCTGTAATCGTTACAGTGGGGAAAAAATCTGGCCTGTGGACCATATCATAAAACGCTAGACCGGTCATGAGTGTGTGATTAGCCAATCAAATTCGAGGATTTTGGGTTCCGGCCCGCTCAGGTGCTTGAGAAAGAAATAATATGTCATATTTACACAACTAAGTTATTCCTTTCTTCTGCTTGTTTTTTAGTACTTATTAATATTAGATTTTTTTATTTTTTTTAATATCTCATTGTGTCATTTTTATTCAGATTTTTACAGTTGTGTGTGATATCTCATGATTTTTATTGACTTAACTAAGTGTAGATGTAGATTTCAGAGGGTGCTTGTCAAGTTTCTGTTTTTTCCAGTCTGTGATCATGGCATTTTTCCCAAACCTTTTCAGTGGTATAATTAATCTCTTATTAACCAAGCTTGCTTGGGACCATAGTGGGAGACTATCAGCCTTAGATCTTTTGTATATGGACCTTGCTGCACTTGGTCGGTACTGTCAAGATGTTTGGCCGATATTCTCCACCCTCCACCCAGTGTGGCCCTCATTCCTGATTAATAAGATATATGTAGTTTTATGACTTTGTGACCCCACAGTTTTAGAATATTTCTCCAACAACTTCTCTTTTTCAGGTGGTAGAGAGAGCAAATTTGAACTAAAGAAACTATCTGATGTAAAAATAGATGAAAAGTGCTTTGTGATAGGAACATTATTCAAGAAAATGGAACTAAAGCCTAGTATTTTAAAAGAGATAAGTGAGGAGGTATGATTGATTTGAGAACAAGACTTTGGGAAATCCTAGGTACCATGAATCTTTCTGCTTACTTGTACTCTTTCAAACATTTAACCATTTCATGTTTAGTTGATTTGGTGGGATTTAGCATTAAAAATCTCTTAAATAATGGAAAAAATGGGTAAGTGAAGTACGAAAAATAAATATTGCTAGTAGTTCAATGAAATACATTACAGATATACTGTATATCTGTAATTATAATTGTCATCATCATCACAGATAAATCACTGACTGTAGCCTGCTAACTAGAAATTGCTATCCAAGCAGTGGGTGTATAAAGGATTCTTTCCGATACTCATGGATAGAATTTGCATCTTTGGCTGGAAATAATCAGCCAGGGAACAGTAGGAATGGTGTAAATCAATCTGAATTCCTAGACTAAAATGGATTGGTATAAATTTAGAAATCCATAATCATTGTGTAAACTATAATTCATGTTCATCGTATTCAAATCATCATAGTCTCTGTTGTTTGAGATCAACTGTATTTCAAAACGTTTCCTAATCAGAAAATATAATTTGTAGTCTTAATGAAGTCATGATGGAAAATGCTTTGTTGACAGCATAACTTGATGCCACAACCATCCAGAGTGAAGTATACTGAAGACAGTGATGAACTTGTTATAGAGGATGAAACAGAGAGAGTCACTCTCACTGGTAACATTCCAGTTGGAACATCTGTAACAGGTATCTTCTGAACATGTCTGCTTCACACAAGGAAGTGTTGATCAATGCAGAAAGAAAAACTTGTTAGGTCTCTATACAAGGATGCAGTAACCATCAAGTGATTACATCTTAAATAACTGCTGATCTTTTTTGTGGCATTTTATCTATTTTAGGAAGTATAGTAGCCCTGTGTGGCCACACAATTGACAGTGGTAAATTCTATGTTGAAGAGCATTGTTTTAGTGGCCTTCCATACCAAACTGCACCAAACCTGGATCAATGCTTATCCAATGGTGAAGACAGGTGAGAATCTCTCGCAGTGTGATAGTTATATCTTTCATATGTTCAATAGTTATCTTTAACCCATTGACTCCAGGAGCTTTTTGGCAAGAACACATTCATTCACCTTGGGCTGACACCTTGTTGTGGTGGTGGAGCTCGTGTGACTCAATGACCCAGAGAGCTGTCCCGGCGGGGACTTTGGTCCCTGGCAGGTCTAACCATGCCAAATTGGTTGAAGGGTAGAGGCCAGACGAAGAACAGCCACTGGTCCTCCAGGCTGGGGGTTGGGCGGCAGGCCGATAACCCGCTCCTGGAAAAAGAAACATATTATGGAAACCGAAACTAGAATTACCACTGTGCCCTATTGGGAAGCAGGGGTACAAGATGCTAACACCCGGTTGGAGCAACGTGCGAAGCAGAGAATGACGCATAAACCGCCTATGAAATTGCTGTTGCCAAAAGGGTGTGAAGATCGGGCAGTGGAATGTAAGGACATTTTTGGATATTTTCAGCTTGGATATGAGCCAAATTAGCTCTAATTTGCTCAAAAAGGCATTTGCAACATAGCAGCATGTCTTTCTTTCCACTACCTTTGCATTTAGGACATTTTTCCCCCGGCATGTGCAGTAATCAGAATTTCAAGTATTTGGTCTTAATAAATGGGTTAAGTAGAGAAAATGAGATATATTTCAATGAATGCTTTTAGATATACATCTGGGAAATATTTGAAGAGGGTACACTAAGAAAAATAAAACTATAAATTAAGATACCTTATATGTCTAGGGTCAAGCAGAATTAAATTGAAATACTAGCTGGACTACAGAAAGATCCTGCTCCCTCGATCTTGTTTATTTGGTAAGAAAAGTAACAAAAGACACAGGTCAAACTGCCCTGTCATTTTTCATTAGGTATGTGGCACTCATTTGTGGTCTTGGCTTTGGTAATGAAAGTCAGGATTTGCTCAGCCTTCAGATGTTTTCTGATTTGGTGACAGGAGAGCTTGGAAGTCTCCAGGTTAGATTCTTTTCAATCTTGTCAGGCATCTGGGCCGGATTGGTAGATGAATACTTTTTGACATGTCAACATCCTCTATTGACAAGACAGTTATTAATTTTTTAGGATCAAGAATCTTGTGCCAAGATAAGCCGTGTAATTATTGCTGGTAACTCTTTGAGCCAGTGCACACAGACTAAAGACAGTGAAACAAAGGTAATTAATCAATACACGTTTAGCCATCAGAACAAGTTTATGGTAAAGCTGAAAATGTTGCTTTTTACCATTCAATAAATTAGGCTATCAGTGAATTAGGTTTAATTAGTTTGCTTGTGCTAATATCTAGAAATAATAGTAAAATACAGACAGGACAAAAATACCAAAGGAGTAGTAATAACTCTTGCAAGTTATAACACTACGTAGATTGGGAAGGCATGGCCACCTCTGAACAGGTTTGTATCACTGTCTACAGCTTTTTAATGTGGACATTGAGTCACAATTAGATTTGAAAGTATAATTATAGTGATAATAAGCATAATTTTAGCACCCAAATATGTTACTGTAAACCTATGCATAGTATTTCTTCTTTGATTGCAAATCAAACCTCTAAATCATTTCCCTCACATTACAAACAATGAATGAGATGAGATGCACGTTTGGGCCAAAAATTACATTTAATATGTAAAACTTTGTAAAAGACCCCCAATGGGCAGGAGGAGGGTAAAATAATACAACGAAGAGGCTAGCGAGAGCGATTGCACGAGGCAAAAGCTGACGATAGAATCACACAGAACAAGAGGAAACTTGAATGGAGGTAAGCCTAATGACACAATCAATAATTATTAACCAATAGTATTTAGGCTGGAATGGTTTTTAGGGACTGAACATAGCCAAAGGGAATATAACTCAGATGGGGTCTTCAGCACTCAGTAATTGGAGTTCAAAACATAGCCTTTTACTTCACAGGCAAAGTATCTGACAAGAAATGCAGTGGCTGGGAGTGTGGAAGCTATTAAGAATCTGGATGCCTTTGTGCTGCAACTTGCTGTAAGTCATGAGGATTGATGACCAATATTTAACAATTATTCACCATAGTGGAGGTAAATATCCATCACTTTCACCAACACTGAGGTGAATAATTGTTTCAGTATATACCACACAAGCTGAATAATTAGTGGACCAAAACACTATTTTATGTGTGACAAGCGGTCGGATATTTCAAAATTTTTCGCACCAGCTGCTAGGAGGTTAATAGTACTTGCTAATCACCTCCAAGTTAACCAATCAGAGCATGCGAAAAGCACTATTTACTTGTGTGGTATATACTAATGAAAATTATTCTCATGTCTCATCTTCAGAACCTTCACATTTTTGTTTGTTTGTTTGTTTGTTTTTTTGCTTTTTACAAAATGGTTACTGCAATCCCTAAGTACTATTTTCTCGAAAGACTAATTCGCACCTTCAGGTTGGCTAAATTTGATACTCTCTGTTCAATCTTTGTGAAAATAAATTATGTGATCGTTTTTTCCTTGACAGGCATGTGTTCCAGTGGAAATAATGCCAGGGGAGTTTGATCCAGCCAATCATGCAATTCCGCAGCAGCCCCTTCATCCCTGTATGTTTCCTCAAGCAGCTGCATATCCCACATTCCAGAGTGTCACCAACCCATACGAGGCTCTAATTGGTGGTGTAAGGTAACATGTACCTTAAGACCTGGTTTTCAGTACCACATTAAAGCACAAGTACAAGCATAACAGTAGTGACGACACACACAACACAAGCATAAGCATATCAAGCATGAGCAGAAGCAGAACAAAAATCTTTGCTCTTCTTGGGCCTGTCCTTTTACGTGTCAAGTGAAAATGCGCTGCTGTAAACATAAGCACAAGTAAAATCATCATCCACCATCTTGTTTTACCACATGTATATCAAGGAGGACGGTATAGAACTGAAAATAAGGCAATTATCCATTCTGGGCATGCGTATATCCTTATGCTTTTGTCATGGGTATCCTCACTATACTTGTGCAATATGCATGTGCTTACATCCTAGTGAATTAATTTAGTACACAAATATCTATTGGTTGAGATCTAGGCAGAAAAAAATTTATGCAGTAATAGAGAAGTATCTCATCAAAAAATGTGTACTGTTACTGTTTTGCTATGATAATAGATTGATACTTTGTAGACTTCTGGTAATGATGGTTGTTAAAAACATTTGCGAGTGTTGTAATGAGTACTTTGTACACTGCTTGATTCTAGGATTCTTGGAACTGCAGGACAGAACATTAATGACATCTACAAAGTCTCAAGCTTCGAGGATTGTTTGGAGATTCTCGAACACACCATGAAGTGGGGTCACATAGCACCCACAGCTCCAGACACTCTAGGTACAATTCTCTTTTAGATGTCATGATCACGTTCTGTGTAATTGTGTGTTCTATAAATGTATTGTAGGGTATCAATAAGTTCCCAGGAGTGGGGAGTAACTTATTACATGTATAATATTCTTGTTTAGAAGTTTATTATACAAGTAAAAAGAGTAAAATGGTCCAAAGGGTGATTGCCAGAGGGGAAAATGTGAGAAATGGGCTAGGTTTATGGACATATTATAATAATCTCCATAATTTTCAGCAGAAAAGAAAAATACATATCTCGAATTACATCAAATTATGTTACATGGCATTTAATTAATGTAAGGTTTATATCACTAAACCATACCACCCATGGCCCAGCTCTTCAAATAATGGTTAAGTCAACCTTGGGTTAGAGGCAATCCTAGACAAGAGATAAAAATTTCTTAACCTATGGGCAAGATAGCTTTGTTCAAAGCAGGGTAAGTGGGTCAGTTAGTTAACCTCAGGTTAAGGGAGTCAAAAATGAATGAAGACGAAGTTGCATATTCTCCAAAGCAAATGAAAAACAACCAGAGTCTGACACAAAATAGGTCAACTGTCAGTCTTCCACTGTAGTTCTTTGTCTGTGAAATAACTATGACAATTTCATGGAAGGCAATATTTCTGAAGCTTTTCTTGCCGTTAGTGTACAGTGAAAAGCAACCTTGTTATTTTGCCTCAATTTTAGTGAGATAACCCAAGTCACGAGGTGGGTTAAATTTAACCTGCTGTTATCTGAGGTTAGTGTTAACTTACCCTCAAACAACAGAACTAACTTGCAGATAAAATTTAACTGGAGGTTAAGTCAATTTAATCTGATGTTAGATTTAACCCCCTTTAAACAACCAGGTCCAAGAGTATAAATGAGTGCCAATCACATACTAGGACAACTTTACAAAATGCTTGGGAGGTGACCTGGGGAAGGACTGACATCCTACCCAAGAGATTAAAAATGCTTTTTATACTGCGATAAGCTTGGGTCTGGTTGTGTACTTGTTTGGTAAAGTGTGACTTTGCTTTTTTGGCAGGGACGCAACTTGTTCCTATAGTGTTTTAACTTCTGTTGTGGATGTTGTTTTCAGGCTGTTATCCATACTATGACAAGGATCCCTTTATTTTAGAGAAGTGTCCACATGTGTACTTTGTTGGCAATCAACCAAAGTATGGGAGCAAAGTTCTTCATGGTAAACTCACTGATGTTTTGTTATAGAATAAGCCAAATTAGTCAATGAACTCACAACACCAACTGAACGTGTGATTCATTATAACCATCTTGTAACGCATGCTGCCTGGAATATCTGTTTTTGCTTGTTTTGGACCTAGTCATCCTCTTGATATTACATGCTCAAGTATTCTGTCTTGCTTTTTCAGGAGAAAATGGCCAAAAAATACTGTTAGTGACAATTCCTGACTTCTCCAGTTCAAAGACCTGTGTGATGCTAAATCTACAATCACTCACATGTCATCCAGTGAACTTCTCTGCTTCTGTATCAATGCAGATGGAAATGTAACTGTGTGGATCTATAAGCCTGAGAGAGTTAACTCTTTATGTGTACTGATACCACATTGACAAGGAAAGAGCAAAGCAACCAAGGATTTCACAGTACTTTAGTTTGTTAACCATGAATACTACTGGACAGAGTCCACTGTTATTGAAAAATATAAAATCAGTCAAAATTCAGCATTGCCTAACCTACATTGTGCATACTATGCAAATAGTCAGCTATGTAGACACCTTGTAAGACCCAAGATATTATATATATGCTTACACTATTTGTAGCATTTTCCAGCAGTTGCGTGACAACTGACTATGCACGTCAAATTTACAAACTAAATCATTAAGAAACATCAAATAGCAGAAACTAAAATTTGGTTCCTTAATGATGGAGTGTTTGAACCCAACAAACAGTCTGATGTTAACAAATTTGCTTTGAACATTGTAAAAAATCTAACAGCTTTATCTTTTTGTGTAAGCTTTGAAATAATATTTAGTTCCTGATAATATGAGCCTGATGTAATATTATGTCTGAGTCCTAGAAGAAAAGAGTTGTAACTTAATATCTAAACTGTAGGAAGTTGACCAATACATTCCTTTTTAATACAGCATCTCGAAAGGATGGTTGTCAGCACTACCAAAAGGTGCATCCATGGATAAAAAGCTTCATTACAACTCATTCAAGTTTGCCAAATTGAACATTGTCTTGTCTTAAAATGTACAAAATTTTTGTTGAATGAACTAGAAAATTGGCCTGTCTTGCATACCCTATACTGTCAACAAGAGCTTGTCAGATTTCTGAATTGAAACCCACTGAACACCAGTTACATCACTACAATGTTAATGGCATCAAATCACTGCATAGAGTCCACTTTACAAGGACCTTTCGTTAAAAAAAAAGTCTTAAAGATGATTTCCAGTCCATACAGCACAGTCTCAGCACCTTAATGTTTATGAACATTATAAGTCCCACTTGATGGAATGCGAATTAATGTTATTCGTTACCAACCACATACCTTATCTTTCAACAGCTTCATTGATTTTTACAGCTGCAAAGTTGTTTCATCAAGTGATATGAGAAAAAACGAAGCATAATGCTTTGCATTCATAATGGCAGTTTACATGAAACTTTGAATTCACTTCATGTAAGTAGTTGCAAAATGTTTACATTTTGTGATGTCTTTCATGAAACAAAACAAAAAACCTAAGAAATCTCTCGAGAGTGCACAGTACGGACTGGAAATCATCTCTAAACTCTTGCAAATTAGCAGAAGAAAGAAATCTTGTCTATTGCCATCCAAATATATCTTCAACCAACCTATCATGTTTTGTTGAAGGAAGCCCGATTTCTATTCAACCTGTCTCATCAAAATTTGTGGTAGTTATTTGAAAAGCTGTTTCATTAAGTGGTGGCATGAAGAACTGCTACTCCTGCTGCAGCCCGACACCTTGTCATGGGAATAACATCTTCCCATTCGTCAGTTCTTGGATCGTATGCCTCTACTGTGTTAAGATATGACGGTCCATCAATTCCACCAACAGCATAAACCCAACAGCCGTATGTCATCACACAAACGCCATCACGACAAGAATTAAGTGAAGCAGCTTCAGTCCATACATTCATGCGAGGTTCAAACATTTCAACAATCTCAAGCCTTGAGGCACCATCAAAACCACCTATGGCATAGATGCGACCATCTAATGCTGCAGCACCAATCCCTGCCCTGGGCCGGCTCATGGGAGGTAAAAGAGTCCATCTGTTTGTATGAGGATCATAGCATTCAATTGAATTGAGGAATGAAACTCCATCATTCCCACCAATTACAAAGATGCGATCTCCAAGCTCTGCCACACCTGTGTAGAAAGAGACCAGTGAGACATGAATTGTCTGTTAAAATCCGTCTGAAACTTGACAAATTTCTTGTCCTTACCAAGCACACTTTAATTTGTTTTTTCAATATTTAAGGTCTGATTTAGGTTATCTTATTGCTTGAAGATATTTTTAATTGACTGGATCCAGAGTTTTTGTAATAATTATCATGCTGACAGAAAAGAGTACTCAAGTGCTCAACAAGTCATTGTTTGATTTGAAAAGAAACTGAAATTCTTTGAGTGTTGCAGAACTAATGTGCCAAAAAAATTGCCATTGCTTCCCCATCTTATTAAGCTGATTAAGGTATGATTACACTTCACTTCAACATAAATGAGTTTATTTTTGTGTTTTCTCCTTGCATCTCCTGCTACATACGTTTTTCATGTTCATAAATTATCAGTCAGACACAATGATTTGACCTTTTTCTGGTCATTATCAACATACTGTAACATGACAACATCTGGACAAAAGCCAACCCTTGTATTACTAACACTCACATACCAGGGAAACTGCGGGTAATATTTGTAGGTGCAACAAGACTCCACACATCAACCAGAGGGTCATATCTTTCAACAGTTTTTAGGCATGATCTGCCATCATAGCCGCCCATTGCATACATTGCTTCACCAAGTACCCCGACTCCAACACCTGAACGACTTGTGTTGAGTGACTTGACATACATCCAGTGGTTTGCCTCTGGTGAAAAGCACTCTACCGTGCTCAAACGTGAATAGCCATCTGAACCTCCAACAGCATAGAGCCGACCTCCTAAACTTCCAGTGCCAAGCTGTTGTCTTGGCACATTAAGTGAGGGTGCTTGCTGCCAAATGTTACTTTGTAAGCTGATGACAAGGGCAAAACATTACAAGAAGAATGTCACATAAGAGCCATACCTGTGGTTATTAAGGATTTGTGTCCGGCCAAAATTATTTTAAAAAATTGACAATTTTTGCTATCACTCATCTCAGGCAAAACACAACTTCCACCCTGTTCTCGTTAAACTTGAAAGGGATCGACTCATTCATTAACCAGCCCACGCATATGTAAAATTTGATAACATGCATCCGTTTTAGCAAGGCTCATCCATGCATAATGTTTTTGTTGGACGGAAAATCACTCCCTACCCACAGAATTCCAGACAAAAAAAAACTGTTGTTTCAGGAGTAAAGTAGGCCATATTTCACCAAGAAAGAACCCCTCGGGCTAACAAAATTCACAACGAAAGATATTGATCAACAAATTTTTTTCCACCAGAGACAATTTTTGTATCCAAATAGTTTGATGACTAATTCCGCTCCTTGTATTTTGATACCAGAGTTAATGGGATTCCCAAACTGAACTACGGGAAACAAAAACAGAGCTCGTGAAATAAATTTGAGCACATACGCACAAAGTGAAATAGGATAGCGGAGTAAAAAAAATGTTACCTGAATATCAGGTGAGTGTCAACTGTAAACATACAAGGAAAGTTGGTAGATGTCAACAACTGAGATTACAAACCTGTAGCACTCTACTGTATTTGAAATAGTTTCTCCAGCTTCTTTACCGCCAACAGCGTATAATGTACCCATCATAGATTTTCTCGGTTTCATTCGATCAGTGCGAAACAGCGCTCGCTGTTCGGGTACAAGATGATAGTTTTTCGCCTCATCCAGCAAATCTCTGCACGCCAAATTCGATCGTATTAAATTGTCCGCATCAACTCGGTTCAGGAGATAGTGCTTAGAAATCAACGGCATTCGGACAAATCGTATCAGACTTGGAAGCTGTTTGGCTCGATTGTTTAAGTCATGTTTCACCCAAGACATCACGGCTTCGTAAACTTCTTCTTCAGCGATGATGTTCAAGTCGTCGCTTGAAATCACTTTTATCAATAATTCGCAAGGCAACAAAGCATATTCCTCTGACTTCATTACTTCTCTAAAGTTCTCAAGCACAAAATTGTCCACAACTTCAAGAAAATTTGTGCAACCATGCGCTTCGGTAAACTTCCTTATTCCCAAGCAATTAGAAGGGTCTAGTTGAGTTTCTAAGAATTGACAGCATATATCTCGCACTTCGTGAAATTGTACTAAACAAGCGGTGGCCAGTATGGACTGTACATTTTCAACGTTAACATCAACCTTTCCCGTGTAAGCGAATTCCACTAGAATTTGTACTACAGTAGCGTCTATGTCTTTCATAGTGATAACTTTCTGTCGGCTTTCTGCTAAGTCGCTCGTAAACATGGCGTAGAAGTACGAACTACACGCTGCCAAGACGGCCCTGTGAGTAGGAATGTGTTCGTCTCCAATTTTAAGAACGACATCACATAGCTTAAGGCAGTCTTTGCGATGTTTGTTCATAACTTCCAGTACTCGACCACTGTGTGAAGTCGAATAAGGCGAGTGAAGTTCTCTCCCTCCTCCCACCTCCATGATATATTTTTTGCTGTTGGTGAATGTTGTCCAACCTCGTTCCCAGGGTCTCTCGAACGAGGTCCTTCGGAAATTTCCGAAACTTCAGTCATGGACAGAAGTGTTGACACATTTGGGCAAAACAGAAGCTTTCTACCGGCATCCTTCCGTAATTGAAAAAAATACCTTTTCTGTCGATAACCAAAGCCCCCTCTCCCCCTTTTCAATGTTGAAATATGCTCCGTGGGCACTGTCACGTGGTTACAACATTGTAAAGGGGAGAGGGTGTCGAAATGTGAATATCGGAGATTGAAAAACTCACGCGTTCAACGAAACAGTGTTTTTGCGGGGAGTGTCTCAACTACTTTTGTCCATGATTGTTGTTCTTGTTTTATTTTTGCTATTTGTAAATATATTTACAACATATCGGTGTATATGAGGCAAGGAAGCCCAGGGAAGCCAACAAGGCTTATATAAAGGACTACCTTAAATATACCCAAGCAGGAGCCTATGACCTAAGTCTTAACAAAATAATAAAAATGCTGTTATTGGCACGCAAAATGCTCAAAATTTAGGATAAAAAGTAGTTAAGCAAAACTAAATGCGCAAATGCACAAAAGCAAAGGAAGGGCCTGAAAAGGGAAAAAAGCCCACACAAGCACACTGAGAGAAGTAAAAGAGAAGAGAAATGAAACCTTACATAACAATGAGTGAAACCATGTTAGAAATTTCGTGCAGACCTTGGAGCAAGCCCGGTAGACATTTGGCTATTTTGAAAATATAAAGCGTTTCCATATGATAGAAGGCTTGCTTTATTTATTATTATGTGCATCGTATGGGTGATTCTGCACACCCTTCGATTGTCTATCATATCCCAAATTCTTAACTTGATTAAATTGAACGGTTACGACTTATAATTTTGATGGCTTGACAGCGAAAACCTGGCATATAGGTAGTCGACTTCTACACGCACTTACACGGGATCGATTCACGCGCACGGCCAGCGCACAAACTTCTAGTTCCCTTACTATAAACCGCTGACACAACAATTTGCAGGTTCATATAGAGCCCGCTCCGCCCGCTTTGAAACAGCTCATTTCCCGTTCTAAATTTTCTGATTACGAATGTGTTCAAGAATTTCCAATCACGTTACTTCTTAGCTGAGGGGGAATCCCTCCGTCAGTTGTTCCGGTTTGGCGCTCTGCAGAAAACCAAACGGACTTGCATCCAGTTGCACGAATCAAAGGTATCGGGGAGGACTTTTGCTAGATCGAAGTAAGACAGCTAAAATAATCACTCTGTCACTGTGTTCGATGATTCTGATGGGTTTGACCTGAATTTTCATTTTCTTGATTTGAAAGATCTGAAGGGAATCATGTCTGGTTCTCCCAAAGGAGGTAAGAGGAACGAACAACTACAATTTGTCTATACTTCAGGCTTATAGAGGTCTACATTTTCACCTTCATGTGAAAATATTCTTCATCAATTAAGACATGAGCTTAAGTATAGAACTTATTAGCTTAAAATATCGAGTTTATTATAACTCACAGAATAACTCACTGATTATGTTAGAGTTTGATTTCTCATGAGTCATTGTCAGGAGATATCTCTTTTGTGGTCGGTTTAGTAAATTAAGTGGATTTAAATATGCTGCATTTTTGAATGCATGCATTATGCTGGCCATGAATTTCATTTTCATCCTTCAAATTCACATTTGATTAATAAGTTATAATAAGGTTTACATTAGGTCAAGGTAGATATTGTGAACTGATACTAAAGCTTATGATGCAGTCAATATTTACAGCCCGGGAGGAGGGGGTGCTCCAAGAAAAATGGGATGCAGGTGTTTGGCCCGCTTCCCAAAACCTTTACCCTGGTTCAGAGCAAAGTCTGCATTATACCCTATTTAAGATCTGACCAAATATAACTTTTATACCCTGTTTCAGACCCGACAATTAAATCAAAACCCTATTTCAGACCAGCCTTATAATCAGTTCCTTAGCTCAGACTGATGTTAACCCACACATGCACACCCACAGCTTTTGGCACAAGACCTAAGTATTTCAGTGCATATTTTAAGCTCAACTGACCCAATCACTCTGATTTGGGTATCATTGGAGAGATCGTTTCCTCCTGCAGAACTTGAATATAAGTGATACCAATTTTGGTCAAAGGTGATGACATCAGAAGTGGTTATGGCTGGTACAGGTGCCAGTGGGTTTAAAGCCGGCAAGGTTTTTATGTTTTCAGTAGGCAGGGATGTCAGTCGTTTTGCCTACAAGTTGATTCGCCCACATCAAAGTTGTTTTGCCTACACGACCGAAGTCGTTTCGCCTACACGATCCAAGTGGATTTGCCTACATTAAAGTCGTTTTGCGTACACTTAAATTGAAAATATTTTGTGAAAACAGATGAACCTCACTGCCCACAGGAGGCAGAGGAGTCATATTGGACCGTATTTCCAGTTAAATTAACTGTAAAATTGTAGCCCAAATCGATTTGTTGTTGATTTCAAGATTTCAACAGATGCGTAACATGATGCATGTAAAGTGGAATCCCGATTTTTCAAACCTCCAAGGGAAACAAAAATTGGTTCAAAAAATTGGAGATTCCAAGAAATCGTGGGTAAAATTACAGCGTTTGACTGAGGAGGGGAAACAACTTTTGGTTCGACTTATTGGGAGGGTCAAGAATTGGGATCCTCTCAGTTTGATTACATACAGTTACTTGAATCAACAACATATTGATCCTCTACTTCCTGTGCCCTGTCAGACTTCTTTTGGTGAAAGGGAGGTGGAAAGGAAAATCACGCAATGCAACAGTTGTATAGTAAACAAACAAATTTAATCTCTTACTCTCTAGCTAGTCACAATGGAAACATGTGCATGACTGTGGTGGTCATGCACCCTTTTTCTTTTGTTGTATATAATGGAACTATTTACAGGGAGCTCAGCCAACAAACTTCAAATACATTTCTCAGTGACCTATTAATTGGAGTGCTGAGTGAATAGTCAAGATGGGCCATTTAGACATGCACATTGCTTAGATATGCACATTGCACATGACAAGTTCCTGCTGGTGATCTTCAAGTTTATTAGCTTGTTTGTTGAGACAGAGTGGTCAGCATTGCTGCGCAGTCGCTGTGGAATACTCTGCCGAAAAATATTATTATAATTATCGTAAACCTATCTGTCAATTTTTGGCACATGACGAGTTCCTGCTGGTGATCTTCAAGTTTATAAGCTTGTTTGTTGAGACAGAGCATTCAGCACTGCCGTGCAGTCGCTGTGGAATACTCTGCCGAAAAACATTATTATAATTATCGTAAACCTATCTGTCAATTTTTGGATAAGTACGGTATTTAGTATTTAGTAATAAGTATTTAGTGCAGGCGAATCGACTCAGATCATGTAGGCGAAACGACTTTGGATGTGTAGGTAAAACTACTTTGATGGTGAATCGAATTGTAGGTGAAATGACTTGTAGGTGAAATGACTGGCTACCTTAGGCAGGCCACGTTATAAAGCAAGTAGCAAAGAAACGTACCCAATTCAACACTGAGTACACAAATCATACATAACTTAATTTCAGACCAAAACAGCTAAGAAGCCGTACCGTTTGGAGCAACACATGGCTTCAAATTTCTGGGTCCTCCTCTAGATTTTTCTCTCTTTGGAGTTGGCAGGTCTGTTGGAATGCAGTACAAGCTTATAAATACATATGTAGCCACTGAGTACATCTGTTACTTACCTGGCTGAACTGTTACAACTTCCTAAGGGATAAAAATTAACTTTAAACAAAGTTTAAAAAATGCAGCAGCTAAGTCATCGCCCTTTGTAATGCCAAATTCTCTAAAATATTGAAAGCTGAAAAAAAAATACTTCTTAAAACTATGAATGACTCAAAAAATATTTTGTAAGATCTTGATAATGTTCTCCACTCTGAAAATAAAGTCTCCCAAAAATGAGACTCCAAACTCTGAGATGCAAAATTCCTTGCAATAATGAGTTTTCACAAATACGTCCAGGGGCTTGTATATTTAAATTAGATTTAGGATATAGCCTCTCCCAAGTTTAAGCCCTGTATAGTAAAGTGTGTCCTGGTTTACAACCTTCGAGTCTTATGCAATCAGGAATTAATGCTTACTAAATACTTGTTATGTTTCAGGAAAGAAGCCGAAACAAAAGTCAAAAGGACCTCCTAAGTTGGATTTTTCAAAGGGCCATTCATCACCTACTACATCCCCTTCGTAAGTAAAATTTAGGAGGAGAATTATGTGCACTAAGCTATTAACTACTTAAATTGGGTATCTTTTTTTCCTCCAGGCCTTCCCAGGCAATTTTGATAGCGTATTCTTACTAAGAGTGATAGAATAAGCCTGTAGTCTACAGTCTCCTATTAGTCTAACAGGTTTATAATTACTTGATTTGGAACTGAAAAGATGACTTAATTTAATCTTGAGGGTAGTCTCTTGAAAAAAAGTTAATATTTTGAAGGAGAGTTTTTACTTATTATTAGCAATTATTTCCCAAAGGTGAATTGAACATTAATTTGACTACTATTTCCAAACATGAATTGATACTAAAAAATGTTCAAGGACTTGTGAAGTTTTAAGAGCACTTAAGAAGTGCCAAAAGGTTTCAGCTGTACTTCATGAATCTCCACATGCTTACATAGCTCATCAGTGTTCTTGTATTGACAAGCTGTTTCCTAAATATTTAGCTTTTTGTATTCACTCTTCTGAAAATGCCACATGGAGTTCATCATCATGATGTGCTCAGTGTTTTTCTCCTCAGAGTCTCATATGTGCAGCCCTATATTGGAAACTTGTATTCATGAACACATCATCTTAAGGGCAGGAATATAGCAAAGATAAGATTTTTAAGAAGTAGAGATTCCTTCTCAGTTGGAAGATACTAGTCAAGGAGAGAGCTTTAATATATGTTTCCACAGTGATCATTTTCTGAAGGCAAGGTGACATGTAAACGTCATTTTATATATTTATTATTATTACTCTCGTTACTGCTATTATTGTTTTAGGACCACCCCTCCTAGAAACCTGACTGATAGAGAGACACTCACTGTTGATGGCAAGGTTTGTAAAATACTCAAAATTATTATATATTTTTCCTTTTTTATTATAATTTTAATGTGGCTAAATGTAATTTAGGCTAAGTTAAATGCAAAACGATGCTGGCCAGCAGTCGCTCTCTGGGCATTGGTGCAGGGTGGCCGGGGATTTTTGCATAGGGGCCTTTGCATGTTTACAGCTCGGCTTCAGATGTCAAGTCATTTCGCACCTTTTGTTTTGCTACCGGATAGTTCTCACTGAGTTTACTCCCAGCCCGCCCCTCCCCCTTGGCATGGTAAGTATAAGGTAAGTATCTTTGTTTCCACTGTTCTTTCAGATCAGTGTGACGGTGCCTGGTGGTTGCCACTCACAGGGTTGTCACACGTTGGGCTCGGATTGATTCGTGGCCCCACCTTCCCTTTCAGGCACTATTCCCCAAGCTCATCTATTGTTGATGAGTTAAATTAAATTTTAGGTTTTGCCAGCTACTGTCTGTTAGCATGATCACTGATAGATATCGATGTTACTTCAGAACAATAATAATTATTAGTCTGCTATGTTTACTACAGGAATTCGAGTGCAATGCAGAGGATTTAAAAGAGTTAAAGGAGCTTGGGCATGGGGCATATGGTTATGTATACAAGATGATACATCAACCCACAGGCCACATTATGGCAGTCAAGGTAAATCTCAAACAGATAGGTAGCTGTCAATTCAGTCATCAGAAAGTCAGGGTTTAATGTAATTGTTTTCTTTGTTCTTAATACTACAGAGAATACGAGCCAGTGTGAACTCAACAGAGCAGAAAAGGCTTTTAATGGATTTGGATGTCTCCATGCGAGTGACTGACTGCCCATACACAGTGCATTTTTATGGTGCATTGTTTAGAGAGGTCAGCCAATTTCCTATTACTTTATAACATTTATTATTAGAAATGTCTAACCACTCAGTACTGGACACTGCAATGCAGTTCATACGCATAGTGTCAACAAATAGGCTTCCCAGTTCATGTGCGTCATGCAGCATGCATGAAAAGTCACTCAAGATTGAGATACAAAAGAAGTGAAAATAACAAATGCTTCACTTGGTTTTCCTCATTTTTAGTGCAGAGTGCACTATTGGGATGGTTTAGGGGGCTGTGCTCCGCACTAATGCCATAAGGTGTAAACTTAATGTTTGTTTAATTAATTAATTTTAATTAAACAATTAGCCTTGTGGAAAGCAGGGCTGGGTGGGTTAGGTACCCGAGTGCATTACACAAAACATGTTTTACTTATGTTCTTTATTAGAAAAACATGACATATATATGTTATCGCAAATCTCATGCTATCCTCGTGATGCTGTTATCTAATGAACAAAAGCAATTTGCTTGAAATGCATGCGCAGATTAGTTAGTGTCGGTGTCGACTATATGTTAGGTGAAAGATACATTACATACAGGATCACATACAAATTAATGTAGAGTGCTTTTCCTTGTGGTAGAACACAACATGTAAGACGCATGCGTCGCATACAAACATGAAACATACATGCTGCTAAGATTATGCCTTATCACGTTTTTTGTCCACTTTGCATATTCTGCAAAGGGGAAAAGGCTTAGTTGACTACCAAGGGAGAGAACAGGGATAAGGGCCTGTGTGACTACTGTATCCAAGCCATAAATTGCACTCTGCACCATCTAAAGTTGTCTCACTAGCTTTTTTGAGACTGCTGCTGTAATAAGTAGGGCCAGAAGTCAATAAGGTAACTTGTATATAGCTAGAATAACCTGTAAGCCATGCATGTTTGCAATGCAGACCTATTTTCGTACGAAAAGTCCGTATTACCTAAACATTACCTCATGTCAGTCATCATTCCCTGGGAATTTCGCGGGTTTGTTCATAGAGCATTCTGATTAATGATCATGGAGCAGCATGGGGAATAGAAAGTTATTAAACTGCATGTACAAGCATGCTTAGCCGTGTAGTAGAATTAAGTCATGTAGCAGAGTTGGAATCTCTGCATCTTTAACTAGCAGCTAGTTTCATCTCAATCAACAATATAATGTGACAATTACTTTAATTTTTTCTGATCAACTAGGGAGATGTCTGGATCTGTATGGAGCTAATGAAAGCGTCATTAGACAAATTGTACAGAAAAGTGTATGGCACATCTGGCAGAAGGGTGCCTGAGGAGGTCCTAAGAGAAATTGCCATTGCTGTAAGTTATAATGACTCTTTCGTAGTAGTTCCCTTATTTCTGCCAAACTGTTTGGATAATTTATCATAGTGAATTTTGATCAGCAATAGCCAGGACAGCCTGGTATATTCTCATATGTATTTGAAATATGGGTTAACTTCTAAAAACACTGTGTTTCCAGCCACCCCATGGAAGATCAATCCAAAATTCCAGGGGGTTTCAAAATCAAAACTTTTTTAAACAAAAGCATTCAGTGAAACAAGAATTTCTGGCAAGTTAGGGAGGGGCGTTTTCACACCAAAAGATGCACCATGAAGGATACATNCTTCCTGTGCCCTGTCAGACTTCTTTTGGTGAAAGGGAGGTGGAAAGGAAAATCACGCAATGCAACAGTTGTATAGTAAACAAACAAATTTAATCTCTTACTCTCTAGCTAGTCACAATGGAAACATGTGCATGACTGTGGTGGTCATGCACCCTTTTTCTTTTGTTGTATATAATGGAACTATTTACAGGGAGCTCAGCCAACAAACTTCAAATACATTTCTCAGTGACCTATTAATTGGAGTGCTGAGTGAATAGTCAAGATGGGCCATTTAGACATGCACATTGCTTAGATATGCACATTGCACATGACAAGTTCCTGCTGGTGATCTTCAAGTTTATTAGCTTGTTTGTTGAGACAGAGTGGTCAGCATTGCTGCGCAGTCGCTGTGGAATACTCTGCCGAAAAATATTATTATAATTATCGTAAACCTATCTGTCAATTTTTGGCACATGACGAGTTCCTGCTGGTGATCTTCAAGTTTATAAGCTTGTTTGTTGAGACAGAGCATTCAGCACTGCCGTGCAGTCGCTGTGGAATACTCTGCCGAAAAACATTATTATAATTATCGTAAACCTATCTGTCAATTTTTGGATAAGTACGGTATTTAGTATTTAGTAATAAGTATTTAGTGCAGGCGAATCGACTCAGATCATGTAGGCGAAACGACTTTGGATGTGTAGGTAAAACTACTTTGATGGTGAATCGAATTGTAGGTGAAATGACTTGTAGGTGAAATGACTGGCTACCTTAGGCAGGCCACGTTATAAAGCAAGTAGCAAAGAAACGTACCCAATTCAACACTGAGTACACAAATCATACATAACTTAATTTCAGACCAAAACAGCTAAGAAGCCGTACCGTTTGGAGCAACACATGGCTTCAAATTTCTGGGTCCTCCTCTAGATTTTTCTCTCTTTGGAGTTGGCAGGTCTGTTGGAATGCAGTACAAGCTTATAAATACATATGTAGCCACTGAGTACATCTGTTACTTACCTGGCTGAACTGTTACAACTTCCTAAGGGATAAAAATTAACTTTAAACAAAGTTTAAAAAATGCAGCAGCTAAGTCATCGCCCTTTGTAATGCCAAATTCTCTAAAATATTGAAAGCTGAAAAAAAAATACTTCTTAAAACTATGAATGACTCAAAAAATATTTTGTAAGATCTTGATAATGTTCTCCACTCTGAAAATAAAGTCTCCCAAAAATGAGACTCCAAACTCTGAGATGCAAAATTCCTTGCAATAATGAGTTTTCACAAATACGTCCAGGGGCTTGTATATTTAAATTAGATTTAGGATATAGCCTCTCCCAAGTTTAAGCCCTGTATAGTAAAGTGTGTCCTGGTTTACAACCTTCGAGTCTTATGCAATCAGGAATTAATGCTTACTAAATACTTGTTATGTTTCAGGAAAGAAGCCGAAACAAAAGTCAAAAGGACCTCCTAAGTTGGATTTTTCAAAGGGCCATTCATCACCTACTACATCCCCTTCGTAAGTAAAATTTAGGAGGAGAATTATGTGCACTAAGCTATTAACTACTTAAATTGGGTATCTTTTTTTCCTCCAGGCCTTCCCAGGCAATTTTGATAGCGTATTCTTACTAAGAGTGATAGAATAAGCCTGTAGTCTACAGTCTCCTATTAGTCTAACAGGTTTATAATTACTTGATTTGGAACTGAAAAGATGACTTAATTTAATCTTGAGGGTAGTCTCTTGAAAAAAAGTTAATATTTTGAAGGAGAGTTTTTACTTATTATTAGCAATTATTTCCCAAAGGTGAATTGAACATTAATTTGACTACTATTTCCAAACATGAATTGATACTAAAAAATGTTCAAGGACTTGTGAAGTTTTAAGAGCACTTAAGAAGTGCCAAAAGGTTTCAGCTGTACTTCATGAATCTCCACATGCTTACATAGCTCATCAGTGTTCTTGTATTGACAAGCTGTTTCCTAAATATTTAGCTTTTTGTATTCACTCTTCTGAAAATGCCACATGGAGTTCATCATCATGATGTGCTCAGTGTTTTTCTCCTCAGAGTCTCATATGTGCAGCCCTATATTGGAAACTTGTATTCATGAACACATCATCTTAAGGGCAGGAATATAGCAAAGATAAGATTTTTAAGAAGTAGAGATTCCTTCTCAGTTGGAAGATACTAGTCAAGGAGAGAGCTTTAATATATGTTTCCACAGTGATCATTTTCTGAAGGCAAGGTGACATGTAAACGTCATTTTATATATTTATTATTATTACTCTCGTTACTGCTATTATTGTTTTAGGACCACCCCTCCTAGAAACCTGACTGATAGAGAGACACTCACTGTTGATGGCAAGGTTTGTAAAATACTCAAAATTATTATATATTTTTCCTTTTTTATTATAATTTTAATGTGGCTAAATGTAATTTAGGCTAAGTTAAATGCAAAACGATGCTGGCCAGCAGTCGCTCTCTGGGCATTGGTGCAGGGTGGCCGGGGATTTTTGCATAGGGGCCTTTGCATGTTTACAGCTCGGCTTCAGATGTCAAGTCATTTCGCACCTTTTGTTTTGCTACCGGATAGTTCTCACTGAGTTTACTCCCAGCCCGCCCCTCCCCCTTGGCATGGTAAGTATAAGGTAAGTATCTTTGTTTCCACTGTTCTTTCAGATCAGTGTGACGGTGCCTGGTGGTTGCCACTCACAGGGTTGTCACACGTTGGGCTCGGATTGATTCGTGGCCCCACCTTCCCTTTCAGGCACTATTCCCCAAGCTCATCTATTGTTGATGAGTTAAATTAAATTTTAGGTTTTGCCAGCTACTGTCTGTTAGCATGATCACTGATAGATATCGATGTTACTTCAGAACAATAATAATTATTAGTCTGCTATGTTTACTACAGGAATTCGAGTGCAATGCAGAGGATTTAAAAGAGTTAAAGGAGCTTGGGCATGGGGCATATGGTTATGTATACAAGATGATACATCAACCCACAGGCCACATTATGGCAGTCAAGGTAAATCTCAAACAGATAGGTAGCTGTCAATTCAGTCATCAGAAAGTCAGGGTTTAATGTAATTGTTTTCTTTGTTCTTAATACTACAGAGAATACGAGCCAGTGTGAACTCAACAGAGCAGAAAAGGCTTTTAATGGATTTGGATGTCTCCATGCGAGTGACTGACTGCCCATACACAGTGCATTTTTATGGTGCATTGTTTAGAGAGGTCAGCCAATTTCCTATTACTTTATAACATTTATTATTAGAAATGTCTAACCACTCAGTACTGGACACTGCAATGCAGTTCATACGCATAGTGTCAACAAATAGGCTTCCCAGTTCATGTGCGTCATGCAGCATGCATGAAAAGTCACTCAAGATTGAGATACAAAAGAAGTGAAAATAACAAATGCTTCACTTGGTTTTCCTCATTTTTAGTGCAGAGTGCACTATTGGGATGGTTTAGGGGGCTGTGCTCCGCACTAATGCCATAAGGTGTAAACTTAATGTTTGTTTAATTAATTAATTTTAATTAAACAATTAGCCTTGTGGAAAGCAGGGCTGGGTGGGTTAGGTACCCGAGTGCATTACACAAAACATGTTTTACTTATGTTCTTTATTAGAAAAACATGACATATATATGTTATCGCAAATCTCATGCTATCCTCGTGATGCTGTTATCTAATGAACAAAAGCAATTTGCTTGAAATGCATGCGCAGATTAGTTAGTGTCGGTGTCGACTATATGTTAGGTGAAAGATACATTACATACAGGATCACATACAAATTAATGTAGAGTGCTTTTCCTTGTGGTAGAACACAACATGTAAGACGCATGCGTCGCATACAAACATGAAACATACATGCTGCTAAGATTATGCCTTATCACGTTTTTTGTCCACTTTGCATATTCTGCAAAGGGGAAAAGGCTTAGTTGACTACCAAGGGAGAGAACAGGGATAAGGGCCTGTGTGACTACTGTATCCAAGCCATAAATTGCACTCTGCACCATCTAAAGTTGTCTCACTAGCTTTTTTGAGACTGCTGCTGTAATAAGTAGGGCCAGAAGTCAATAAGGTAACTTGTATATAGCTAGAATAACCTGTAAGCCATGCATGTTTGCAATGCAGACCTATTTTCGTACGAAAAGTCCGTATTACCTAAACATTACCTCATGTCAGTCATCATTCCCTGGGAATTTCGCGGGTTTGTTCATAGAGCATTCTGATTAATGATCATGGAGCAGCATGGGGAATAGAAAGTTATTAAACTGCATGTACAAGCATGCTTAGCCGTGTAGTAGAATTAAGTCATGTAGCAGAGTTGGAATCTCTGCATCTTTAACTAGCAGCTAGTTTCATCTCAATCAACAATATAATGTGACAATTACTTTAATTTTTTCTGATCAACTAGGGAGATGTCTGGATCTGTATGGAGCTAATGAAAGCGTCATTAGACAAATTGTACAGAAAAGTGTATGGCACATCTGGCAGAAGGGTGCCTGAGGAGGTCCTAAGAGAAATTGCCATTGCTGTAAGTTATAATGACTCTTTCGTAGTAGTTCCCTTATTTCTGCCAAACTGTTTGGATAATTTATCATAGTGAATTTTGATCAGCAATAGCCAGGACAGCCTGGTATATTCTCATATGTATTTGAAATATGGGTTAACTTCTAAAAACACTGTGTTTCCAGCCACCCCATGGAAGATCAATCCAAAATTCCAGGGGGTTTCAAAATCAAAACTTTTTTAAACAAAAGCATTCAGTGAAACAAGAATTTCTGGCAAGTTAGGGAGGGGCGTTTTCACACCAAAAGATGCACCATGAAGGATACATCAAATAGTTCCTGGAACTGAACTATATTTATGTTATTTACAAGTGATTGAGCAAGTGATCAACTGAATACCATCGCTAATGTGTTCCTTGTTCAAACTTATGCTAGGTCTGCATTTTACTGGAATTTTCTCCGTGTGAAATCTTGTAACTTTTCCCCAGAAACTGACACTATATTCAGTAAAACATAGGTGACTAGCTAATTTATGCAATATCATTTTTTTCAACTCACAGATGGTTCATGCCTTAAATTATCTGCATAGCAAACTGAAAGTAATCCATAGAGGTGAGTTGGTCAGACTTCATGCTTGTAATTTATTACACCACTAAACGTAATCACTGTTAATGCTATATTTGCAGTGCTGATCACTGACAGACACACCAGTCTAAAATAAAATCAGTTAGTCATTTTATTAAAAGAGATTTCTTTAAACATAAAAACCAATGCTAAAATCCGACGTTTCGGAGTAGTCATGACTCAATTATCAAGAAAAATATATCAGATCATGCAAATTACAGTATTTAAAGTGATTTTGGCGCGAAGAATTAACACAAAAGGGTGCAAAGAATATGAAAATACTTTCACACGAATGGAGTCTGTTTGCTTGCTGAGATTTGGCTTTAAAGTGCTTATAAAAAGCATTTTGTACAGAAACAGTCAAATGTGTTTCTGCTTTTCTTAATCACGTCGAAGTGCTTTAGCGGGTCCTGAGGCATTGTCCTGTGCACGTTCTTGTAGAGTTTGGCAATGGCAGAGGATTGTTGTTTATGTCCTTTTACATGATTATGTAAATGTCGATGTGTGTAACCTACATAACCCGCATCATGCAGGTCACATTGAAAACTGTAAACAACACACTGCTGATTTACAGTTGGTGGCTTTTTTTCTTTCATGTTTAGTTCTCGTTCAATTTTTCAGCTCACAGACACAGGCTGGATGGTGGTGTGTACTTTTAGGCTCAGCTGTAATTTCCATGATCTGATATATTTTTTCTTGATAGTGGAGTCATGACTACTCTGAAGCAACTCTGAAACTACTCTGAAACATCAGATTTTATCATTCATTTTTACCTTTTTATGTTCAAAGTCAATTTACAGTCTTATTTATTTTGTATCTGACTACTGTGTTTTGAATTTACAGATGTAAAGCCTTCCAATATATTAGTGGATGATAAAGGAAATTTTAAGCTGTGTGACTTTGGAATAAGTGGTCAACTGGTAGATTCACTGGCAAAAACAGTTGATGCAGGCTGCAAACCCTACATGGCTGTAAGTTCTCAAACATGGGAAATCAAAAAAGTTTCATACTGTATGCAGTAATAAGTTATCAAGGTGCAATTCATTCATTATGAACTGCCTGTGTGTGTCTGTGGTAGAAGGTATTAAGAACAGTGTTTTTGCAGTTACATGTTAACTCCCAGACCCCATTCTAAGCTTTGAGAGCTCATTGTTTTATCTTCAAAAATAAGTGAAATGTTAAATGATAGTTTTTCCTTTTTAGCCTGAGAGAATCAACCCTGCTAGAGATATGAAAGGTTACGACATTCGTTCAGATATCTGGAGCTTAGGAATTACCATGGTAATTATTATCATCATTATTAATATAATTATTTTTATTATTATGGTAAGACTTAAATGAATGGTAGTGCTCCTTTTTTGTCATCATTGTCTTAAGGCCGTCAAATGAGATCCAACACCCTTGTTGCTGCAAACTTAAAGTGGTACTATGATCAAATTTTTCCCCCTTAATATTTTAGGTGTATCACATAGAATTCCATGAAAGAATGAAAATGCTGTTTACCATTTGCAAATATCTATATTAGTTCCAGAGATATTTAAGTTTGAAAAATGTGTAAAATATGCAAATGACATGATTGATGACGTCATACACTCAACCCAATTTTATATCAAGTACATAAATTGAGCTATCTTGGTCAATTTGCAGTGCAGACTATTGAAACTTTGTAGGCTAATAGTTCTACAGGAAACACACTTACGGCTATAACAAATTCTGTTCCCATGGCAACCCACTCTTTTCCAGTCCCCACCCATGGCCCACTTGATTTCAACATGTTAGTGATTTTCAGCTCACAAAACATTAAACCAGGCCACAAACTTGAGCTAACATATTTATATGCTTGCTGGATCAAACATATGAGGCACCATTTGCAAATATCAAAATGGAATGCCAAAGGTGGCCAGAAATGCCTTCAATATTGGGGAGGTCTGGAACCCAGTATGTTGCCATGGTAACCAAACTGGTAAGCTCATATTGTGGAGCACATTTAGTAGAATCTTACTGCAAGCAATCAAACATTTCTGATACAACTGGGCTGAGATATCTTTTTTCATCATATTTGATCAAAATTTGGTTGAGTGTATGATGTCATCATTGGGCTAATTTGCATATTTTAAAAACTTGAATATCTCTGTAACAAAAAGAGATATTTGAATATAGTAAACAGCATTTTTCTTCTCACACAGGCTACTTGTTTATGATTTAAAATGGCTGGGATAGGAAAGATGCGATTTTCGTCATAGTACCACTTTAATCATTTACCAGTAATTAATAATTAAAAATAACAATATATAATTTGGAACCATTATAATTTTTTTCCACATGCCTTCAGGTACTTTGTTCAGTGTAAATGTTTGTAAAAATCAGTTGTTATTTTCCTTTTTGACTTCATCAATCAAAAACACCAATTTGCTCGGATTACTTTCCCAAATTAGATCTATGTAGTCTTGTGATAGTGCAAATGACATCCATTAGCCAAGGATAGCACTAGGATGGACACTTGTGTCTGCAAGGTTTGTTTCTCTTCCCATTGGGATACCTCCATATGTTAGCTAAATTACATGCAGGCATGCAGTCTGCAAAGAAAGTTGTGTTCAGTAGCCCAGGGCTAGTGGATTTTGTAGTTGGGCTGGCGTATTTTGTCTTTCCCTTGCCCAACAGGCTAGTGAAGTTTCATGGGAATATATTTGAGGAAACTAAACATACAGAAGTACTGTTAGTAAGAGATTAAATTTTTTGTGGGGGGGCGGGGGTGGCTAGTGAGAATGAATTTGGACTGGTACATTATAGTTGCACAAAAAATTGGTTTCTTTTGCACCTTGGGTATGTTAACCTGTTTTACTAGCAGTTTGGTCTGGAGTAGGGCATGGAAATCATAGGTTATGTATCATGTGCCTGGAAACAGATCGTTTGTCTGTAGAATTCATTCTAGATTGGGAATTGACACTTGGAATTAAAGGAACCTGAGGTGAATGAAAATACATTTTGTATTCATTTAATGACAACTCAGGAGCAACTGGGCACCATTATGTTGAAACAAATTTCTGATAACAAGCAAGCTTAGGATAGGAGAGGGAGATTTGGTGTCTGGTCTGATCTATTACAGATCAGTTGCAAAATGCAGCTGAACATGGTCTGGCATAGTTTGAGAGTTTCACAGCCCCACTGGGAAACCCCTGACCAAACTTTTTCTGGGTGACCTCCTATTTTTTACAGAATGTTATAGCATGCTGTCAAACAGTAAAAGATGTTATAATTAACCATTGCTCTAACTTGTTCTCTTTTTTACAGATAGAACTTGCAACAGGTAAATTCCCTTACACACAATGGAAAACTCCATTTGAGCAACTCAAACAAGTTGTCCATGAACCCTCACCAACTCTCCCTGATGGAGGGCCATACTCAGATGAATTCAGAGATTTTATTGTTCAGTGGTCAGTATTGAAAGCTTGTTAATGGTGTTCTACGGGGAATCGTGCCCGCTTTGTGCCCTGTTATCAAGCTAGTTTTTGACATCTACAGATTGTGTACACTGAGATTTCAAAACTCTAACAAAATTTAATGCTGGAAATGTGCGATCCTTTTTGTCAGACAGTGCAAAGTACATAAATGTTGTAAGCATGTAGACAGGCAGACACATGGCCAAAGTGAACAGTTTCTTCTGGTCTTAAGGATATCCACTTATAGGAAGTTTTACTGTTTTATTTGAGTTCAGACTGTAAACATACCTTGTATTTTTCTCTGTAGCAGTTTACTGTTCAGTACAACTTCTCTCATTAAGCCTTTTGTTAGGCACATCCTGAGAATGAAGGAGCAACAGTTAGAAAATATGGGGCTGAAAGAGTGAGGATATTGATAATAACGCGGTTTTTTAATTACCTTCAACCTGCAGCTTAAAGAAAGATTATCATGAGAGACCAAACTATGTCTTGCTCTTGGTGAGTGTACAATGCATACCAGATATAAAAAAATTTATAATAATTACATGTATAAAATAAAGTATTAGCAATAATATTCTTTTAATTTATAATAATACTGTTAGTAGTAAAAAAGTAAATGTTGAAGTTGAATACCAGGATTTTACAAATTGAGTTACAGCTTAAGGATTGTCTATATTACAGTAAGAAGTTTTTAATGCCAGTTTTAAACACAGACGGAGTACATCTCACCTTAGGGTTAGGGTTAGGGTTAGGGACAGTTTCAACAGAGCAGACTTTATACACCATCGACTAACAAACAATTTTCATTTGACTTGCAAGATGTTTTTTTTGCTTAGGTTACAAGTGTAAACATCAGTCACCAGTGACAGTTTTCTTTTGAACTGACTTTGCCCAGAAGATCACACTAAATGAATTCGCTCATACCTGTGTATTGAGTTTCCAGGAGGGTGGGATGGGGATACCATTGCAATTGGGGACTGGAAAGGTCAATGCCCTGTACCAAATAAAGAAGTGTTTTTTTTTCAGTTTCAGACTATTTTCCAGTATATTAACTGGTTTACCCTAATTTTTGTTTCTTTAACTAGGAACATGATTTCATCAAGGGAAGTGGTACAGAGGACAGTTTTGACACTAAAAGCTGGATAACACCTATCTTACAAGAACTGGAACAACCTGGCAGTTAATAGTGACACAACGAATTAGAATGGATAATTTATATTCTTATTATTTTCCATGTTCTGTCAGACAATCACTATTTGTCTGGACTTAGTCCTTTTTTATCTGCAACCTAGGTATAAATGCAAAGGGCAGGCCCTAAATCATGCATGATTTAGAAATGAAGCAAATTTGTATTCACTTTGCTCAGATGGTGTATTTCCTTGAGATTGTGATTTTGTATCAAAAGCAGACACTTCTTCTGTTGTGCTGTTTCACGCTTTTTTTTTTTTGAGGAGAAATAAGTGCCCGTTGGGAATGCTTTAGCCAGAAGAACATTTTTTCCCTAATTTAAACTTTAACCAAATGCGATTATCTAAACAAAGGATTGTGGCAGTGCTTTAGTATGAAATGAACACTCCCTGGCAACTTATATGGGAGTCTCTTGGGAGCTGAAGCATCCAAGGGTTTTTGGTGTAAGAGCTTTGCAAGTTAGGATACTGTAAAGAGAGTTTTCTGTGTTTAAAATGCCCCATTCACTTCAAAGATGAAATATTATTGAAAACGTACACATGGTTCAGTACGCTTTACTTTTGCTCGCTGATCAAGTTCATTGACTTGTCCGCTGAGTGAACGCAAATGGTAGCTTTGCTGAATTAACATGGCTCAAAACATAGCTTAAGGACACAAGCTTTGGAACAGGGACACCTCGTTCTTACGGTCAGCTGTGTATTTTCCCTTGATTAAATTTCCTAGAAGGCTGCATCCAGTCGTCTACTATTTTGTGAAAGGAAACAGTCTCCAGCCAGGCTAGTGGAAGTAATGGAGTATGCGATGTGGGACTTGGAAGAACAGTATAACCTGCTGACATCATGGAAGCAGTGACTGTAAAAACGCAAAAGCGTTTAAGACTTTTCGTGTTAACAAAAAGTAATATCTACTGCTGCAGGATTTTAGTTTTTATCGAGTGAAATATCAAATTAATAGATTTTTGAGGCTTGTGGTTTCAGGACTTTTCTGTATCACTGTGTTGTATCTCTGACTTATCAGCCCATAATACGTGGCTGATATGAGACACCTTGATTTGTAATAAAACATTCATTACGAAGGAATACGGTACCATGCCAATCAGTAGGGAGTTTAAGTAACCACGACGGCGACGCCGAGGACAACGTCGATTAAAAAATGATTTTATATTTTACCTACGAATCTCGCGGTACTCTAAAGTTATTTACTTTGTTTATCACTGTCAAAACTTTCACGAAACTGAATCTGGGACATAGCGATAAACTTAAAATAAAAATTTAAAAAATTAGCCGTCGTGGTTCACGTGCTCCAGACAACGCAGAATTTGGTCGTTTCACGTTGTTGTTTTACCGAGGGCGGTAAAGAAATGTACCAAGAATTATAACGCACGTGCACAGCTATTGTTTTCCTCGCTAAATCTTTTGTTTAGCGACGTTCCCGATGCCGTTGCCGTCGTGGTTTGCTTAAACTCCCTACTAGTAATAGTCTGAAGGTACAGACTGAATCAAGCTTAATTGCAGTAAGGCTAGAAGTGTGGCTCATCAGAGTCGTTTGTTAAGAAACCAACATTCTCACTTTCGCGTCGTTGTCCCGCTGACATGAAACCTGTGACTACTTCTGGCCAGATTGCTGTCGGGACACCCACCCTTTCCCCCTTCCCCCCCCCCCTCCTCCCCTTTCGCTAGGGATTCTTAAGGAGGCTCCGCCCTAACCTTAGCATCAAGCCTCCCCGAGGAGAGGGGAGAGAAGTCTGGCTTTCATTTACATCCAAAAGCTGATTGGATGAAACAAAATACCATAACGTCATACCTCTGGAGCCATATACCTGGCCTAGGTTGTTCAAACGGTGTATAACACTATCCAGCGGTTAAATCACTACCCAGTGGATAGTGATATATCCGGTGGATAATGTTATACACCGTTATGCTATCTAGTCACCCCGACAGATTCTGTACTGTTGGAACATCAGTGATCATGACCTGACTTCACATGATTCGCAAGCAAAATTACCAAGACCTGCGCCTAAACTTATCGCTTATTGGAGTATAAAACACTTTGACGAACAACCCTTTCTTGCTGACGTAACTAATGTTGCATGGGGCTCATCCTTTGTGTATGATGATGTGGATGATAAGCCATATACACTGAAAGAAACTTATTCGCGGAAACAAACTCCCATGGCTTACTCCCAAAATTGCCCAAGCCATTACTATAAGAAACAAGCTTCATAAAAAGTTTCGTAAAATCAAATCTGAAGATAACTGGGAAACGTACAGAAAACGGCGTAATATTGTCACGTCTATGAAACGAATTGCTCAACTGATGGAAAATGGACACTTCCTGACAAACGATCAATCTTGTATCTTCCCATACACCTGAACTCCCTGAGACGGCTTTCACGGCTCATCTAAGTGTCTAAGTAATCAAGCAAAAATTTGGGCGTCCAAGAGCTGTAAATCAAGATCCTCACTGGAATTAAATCCCATTAAGATACCGTGGTCCTGACTGTATCTCTCCCCGTCTTTTGAAGATCTCGGAACCTGCTATTGTGTGCTTACTTACAAAATTAATTAATCAATGCATCTCTTGTAATATTTGGCCCACTGAATGGAAAGTAAAATTTTAAGACTTTCTTTTACTTGATGGGGAAAAAAACTCGGTCCGTGACTTACAGTAGGGACCTCAAACTCAGTTAGTAAGAAGTAGATATTTGATTATTCATCGATCTTATTATAATATTCTTTATG